AATATAATTTACAACTTTGCAGTGAGTTTAATAATCACGTAAATCAAAGGACACTAGAATCAGAAAGGACTCAAAGATGTTGTCCGACCCAATCATTCTACTGATGCGAAAACAGTCCAGAGAGGTGAAGACTTAACTACAATCACAGATCCATTGAGTAGCAGCCCTGGAGTCCAGGTTCTGGACCCATTCTCTTTACAAGCTCTCTCCACACTTCCCTATAGGCTCTGACATATTTGTCCCCAGCACAGAAGCATTCGCCTTAGGAGCAGCTGCATATAGTTACACTTGCTTCCACCCCATCACTGATGCTAAAACCATCCTGCATCATCATGTCTGATCCCTGAGCCCTCTCCCAACATTTCTGAGTTAATACGGGAAGCTTCCAGCCAGTGCCTTCCGCACCGTTCCTTCCCATTCCCACAGCATCCCAAAAGGCTCAGAACTCAGAACTCCGTGAGGCACGTTGCTTTCTGGGGCTCGTGAGTCTCCGATGACCCATCAATTCTGAGTATCATTTCAGCCACATTGTTGGTTTGAATGCTTTCGTGGGATAGGGTAAGAGCCAAAATATATAAAATATTGTTTTAAGAAATCCAGAAATGAACTTCTAGAATATAATATGCTTGTAAGTCCAGGGGTGTCTTTTTTGCTGATTCACAACAGACACAGGAAGCAGAGACACAGTGTGACCTCTGCTAAGACATTGAATCTAATGATGGTGACCAAGGAATACTGGAGGCCAAGGAGTAAGAGACAGACAGTGGAGAAGAAGGAAAAAGAAGGCAAGGGAAGAGAAAGGAAAGGAAGGAAAGAGAAAATAAAAGCCAGCATACAGTGAACAGGTTGGCCAAGGGCTCTATGAAGGTGGGTATGAACACATTCCGTGGGACCCACGCTGTGATGGTGAGTGTGGCCCAGGTAAGGGAGAAGGCAGCGATCCTCAGGCTTCACTGCCTGAGCAATGGATACAACCAAGAGTCAACATCAACACGGGCAGCAATCTGCTCGTGGACGGTAAAAGAGAAAAAGTTCAGATTCACGGTTTTCGGTACTCAGATTTGGCATAAGTTCTAGTTCCAGTTGTGGATAATAACACTACCACAACAATAAGGTAGTATTACCGGACTATTTCTGAATGACTTGAGACATTATTTCATGATATTATCTTATTTCAAATCATTTCCCTTATTCAAACCATTTCTCAAAAGTGATGGTCACATATGTATATACATATGTAAAAATACGTCACCCATGGTTTACGCACTTTGCTGTGTGTAAGTTATGCCTCAATTTAAAAATAATATTTTGGGGGGCTGGCCCCGTGGTACTCTGCCTCAGTGGCGCAGGGCTTCACTGGTTTGGATCCTGGGAACAGACCTAGCAGTGCTCATCAGGCCATGCTGAGGCAGCATCCCACATAGCAGAACTAGAAGGATCTACAACTAGAATAGACAATCGTGTACTGAGGGACTTTGGGGAGAAGAAGAAGAAGAAGAAGAAGAAAGATTGGCAACAGATGTTAGCTCAGGGCCAATCTAAAGAAAATAAATAAAGATAATATATTTAAGTAGGCATGCCTAAGACCTATAAGGCGCTTAAAAATGGCCCTGTGGCTCAGTGGTTAATGTCGTGTGTGCTCTGTTTCGGTGGCCCGGGTTCATGGGTTCGGATCCCGGGTGCAGATTTACTCCACTCATCACCCATGCTATGGCGGCATCCCACATACAAAGTAGAGGAAGACTGGCACAGATGTTAGCTCAGGGCTAATCTTCCTCACAGAAAAAAAAAACAAAGGCCCTGGTAGATCCAAGATTTAAACCCAGATCTTTGAGGCCCAAAGTCCATGTTCTCGCCTTACTCTGTGCAGCTCTTTGAGTGGTAATGCAGGATGGTTATAGATAATATTCAATATGGGCCTGAAAGAAACAAGCACAAGAGTGGAATAACACAGTACCAATCATCCCATCTTTGAGTCATTCTGGGGGACATTTTTTTTTTTTTACAATACTGACAGTTTACCCCACTGTGCACCAGATTAAAAAATAATAATAAACCACTTTAGATAACTGTCTCCCTAAAATATGACGTCCCTGTCTTCTTAAGCAGAACATACTGTACGTGACTGGACCTTCCTTGATGGCTCGGGGTCATAATTAATAAATATATTATTGCACTGTGCTGTTTCAGGAGCAATTAATGGTGAGCAGGGTTATTTGCTTCCTCACAAAGTGCCTGCAAAGGTTGTGCTGTTCAGTTTTTCCCACCTGCTTTTAGTGAATCTACTTTAACCCACACCGTTTGCCACATGTGCTATTCCTTTAAATGTGCCAATCTTTCTCCTAATTTACTGCTTATAATCTACGGGGACCCAGGCACTAGCCTCAGAGTTTTGTGGAATTCCAAGGCAGGACAAATTAGCTGTGGGTGAGAGTCTGTTATTTTTGTTTATTTCCATTTATTGGATATATTCTAGCTAGAATAGATGGCCACATAATTGAATTTTGAATAGGCAAGGTATTTTGTATTCTTGCTTTATTTTTTTTGAAAATGCTTTATTGAAGTACAATGTACATATAGAAATGTGCACAAACACTAAGTCTACACAGTTCAGTTCAATCATTTTTAAGAAACAACACCTCCTGGTTAGCTTCACCTAGAATAAAAGAACACATACCACCTGCTTTATCCTTTTCAAAGTGATTCCGTGTGCATCACCTCAGCAGGTAATCGCAACAATCGTGCGAGGCTAAAAGATGAGATATTTTCTGTATTTGACAAATGTGGAAAATGAAGGTTTGATGACTTAACTGATTTCTCAGATCACAAGGTAGACAGCACAGATATTAATCCTAGCATTCCAGTGCAGGAATCTTCCCGTGACACTATGAAATTTACTCAGAGGCTGCAAATAGGGTAGTGTCGATTCTAGTGTCAAATTTTGGATGGGAACACAGCAGATGTTCTGCCAGCATCTCGGAGCCTGTTTCGGCTCTGATTGGCCAATGTCCCTGACAAATGGCTGTTAAATATTTTGAATTTCTTCCCCGAGACGCCAAATGTCAACACGCTCTCTTGGGAGGAGAAGAGGTTCAGAAAAATCCTTCAATTATACCAGATTGCCAAGAGAAAGCGCTAGTTCAAAACTTAAGATGGCAGTGTTCTTATTTTTTAGCTCATTTCTTCCATTCTGTTTGTTCCATCTTTTCACCCTCAATGCCAACAAAATAAATCTAACTGAAATGGAAGGATGGAACAATCACAAGAACTTTTAATAAGCACCCCAAAGCCATATTTGATCAGCTATCTCTATCACTGTTTCAAATTACCATCCATTCTAGAAAGCCTCAAATGGTTTGAATTGCAACAGTGGTACCTCTGAATTAAAAGTCCCAATTATAAGAATATGAAAGTTCAAAAGCTTCACAGATTAAAGCTCCCTGTGCATCTCCTCGTCAGCTAAGAGATGTAGTATTTTACAGACCACCCTATCAAAAAGCTGCTTAGCAAACGAACAAAAGACCAAGTGGTGTGGAAGGAGCATGTCTCACAAGATGTTTTTTTAAATAGAACACAAGAAATAGAATTGTTCTGGGCATGTGGATTTTTTTTTTTCTAAAAGAAAGGTTCTGCAGGATTCAAGCTTCCCAAGTCTGCAATTATTGACGTCAATGAAGTAGAGTGAGCTCTCAGTCAAACCCAGCTCCACCACTTCCGGTCGGTAAAAGCAACTTGTGTCGTCAGATTGTAAATCGGGTAACAGCGGCATCCACTGCAGGGCTGCCTGCGGATCCAGTTAACACGGCTCTCAGAACCGTGTCTGGCCCAGAGAAAGCTGCTTTTATTGCCAAGAGGGAACGTGCTACTTCTTGAAGGCAGGATCCCTCTAGTTTAGGCCAACCTGCAAAGTGAGGTTATTCCATGGACTAACTCCAATTCAATACCTGTTATCAGGTTCTAATTAACGAATCCTTAAACTATGCACTGTCCCGAAGCATCAGGGAAAGGGAAAAAAAGGGGGCCCTCCCAAAAAGGAGCTAAACAAAATCACAGCGTTGATCATCTACCTGGATAGAACAAAAATAATTGCTTTTAACAAACACATAAGTACATAGTTCCTCCCCCTAGCGACCCTCACCTCCAGAAAGTTTGCTTCCAAATAAGGAACTAGGCACATCATCATCATTTCCAGGTCTGAAGGTCCAGCGTCCTATGGACAAATCGCCCCTGGGCTCCCACCCACGATAAGCTAATTTCAGTTCATTGCTTGGAAGAAAAAGCAAGTTTAACTCAAGCACAAAATTAGCTTTAGTAGTATATTATATGCAAACATACTCTTTACTACAACAATCTCTATTTTTAAAATGTAAACTTGTTTAACTTGGAGGAATAATACTCACTTTCTGAAGCATGTTTTAGGAGCCTATGGTTCTTTTTAAATTGTATGCTAAAAACTGAAAACCACTCCTGATAACAAAACTAAAATCATTGCACTATCATTTTGCCGGCTTATAAATTTTCTCATATTTTAACAAAGTTGGGAAAAATAAATTATATGTAAAACGAAGCAATGGACAGGTTCGTTGAACTAATTTGAAATGCCTTCTTGAAGAACTTTATGCAAACTGTATCCGTGTCTTTCAATCTAACAAGCCTCAGAAACTGAAAACTGTACAGTGGGGTTGTCCCCTAAAATAAAAAGAACCTGACTCTAGCAAAGGTTTCTACCCCTTGGAAACTGAAGATGCTTTACTGTTTTATGCAAAAACATCTTAGAAGGGTGGTTTAGAGGAAAAGTGAACAGATGGGCTTCAGTCTCTATTAGGAAAAATGACTCCAGTTCCCAGTTTCTAAGAAAAAGAATTGAACTTTTCTTAGGAAGTGTCATTTGAGGGCTAAGGATGCTGCGTTCTGGAAAGGTGGCCAGACAGGGGAGAGGCTGCCGTCCGGTGAGAGTTGGGGGCTGCTGGTCCAGCCCGCCTGGCCCCGGGAGTCCCTACCTGCGTTCCTCAGCTTCTTGTTCCGATACACGGACAGGATGACCAGGAGGTTGCCCAGGATGTCCACCACGATGGTGAAGATGAGGATGCAGGCGAGCGTGGAGGCCAGCCACGAGGGTCGCGGCCACGCGCCCTCCCCGCCGCCGGGCGCCAGCAGAGAGGCGTTGAGCAGCGCGCACCCGTTGCCCCTCACGCTCCCGCCCGGCGCGCCCCACGGCCACCCGGCCATCGCGCGGACCCCGCAGCGCCCCGCCGCCCCTGCGAGTCGCCCGAGCGCCGTGTGATCCCGCTCCGCCACTTTTTATGGCTCTTCCCCGCTCTCCGCGCGCCTGCCCCCATCCCATCGCCCCTTCGCCGCCACGCTGCCGGCTCCACCCCCTCCCCGCGGCCGGACTCTGCACCTGCAGCCCCAGCTGGGTGACACCTGGCGTCCGCCTCTAGGTCCCCTCGACTGCGGGGCTCACAGCCCGATCCCGCACCACGTGCCCACAGCGCCCCCATGCGGGCTGCCGGGGCCGAGCCGCTGCGCCCCAAAGGGCCAGGGATCCCAGAGAAGTCTTGGCAGGGAACGTGGCCCTTCCATCCGTCCCTCGTGTTTCCTCTCTGCGACATCACCGAGCAGGGCCTGTCTGCGTGGGCTCGAACCCTGCCTTGGATTGAGGCACGTCAGTTAGCCACCAGGTGCCCCCGTTTCCTCTGCTGTAAAATGGGAATAGAAGAATATCTAACTCATCTACCTCCTACGTGGTACCTAGAGGTGAAAACATCAAGGAACTTAGTCAGGCGTTGGCCACTCCTGAAGCTGAAATCCTTTTCCCCAGCTCCTCCCACCTGTGCCCCACATACTGCAAAGGCCATCCATAATTTTGATCATCTTGCCCCAAAGGCTACTTTTATTTTGCGACTTTTGGAACGCCGTCCTTAAAATTTTGAGCTCTCGCCCTCGATTTCTGTGCGCCTCTGCTCGCTTCTCCGGATTATCAGACCGAGAAGGAGAATACTGTTGGCTCGAAATGACAGAAGGTTCGACTGGGAACTCTGATTCAGAGAGACTGTACACTTTCCATTTCGCTTTCAAATGTCCCCGATTGAATAGTTTCGAAGTAGCCACAACCCTGCTTCTAGTGCCAACTCAGGCAATTAATTACTGTCCCGCAGATTTCTTCCAGGAGCGTACAGATCCCAAATACCTTTAGCCCGCAAACCCCCCACGTTCTCCCTGAAGACATCCAAGCCTCAGTTTGGCACATCCTCACCCTATAGCTGCTAAAAATAACTTCACTTAACCATTGAGGTGTCCACAAAATCTGCAGCCTCAACATGTAACTATGAGTCCCCAGGCACTGGGAGCCATTCCAAAAAAGTTTGAAATGCGGCAAGACAACAGCAGCCTGCAATTTTTCAATAAAGCAGCCAAAGACAGATACTTATCAAGAAATTAAAGAAATCTACCTGTATCCCAGGTTACTCCAGCTTCCACCTTCCCTTTTTGATCTTTCTTATATCCATGCCTCAAGGATAAAGTCCTAGATTAAAATCAATCCCCTTTCTTTCTTTAATGTGCTTGTTCAGGAAATATTTGACATACTTGGCACTATGCCCAAAACAGCCCTCACCCTCCAACTGGCAGCATGTGCTGTGGATGTGTTTATGAGACACAGGAGTGAAGGGAGAGACCATAAAGAATGAGAGCATGGGGAAGGAATCTGGGAATTAATAGACACATTAAAAGAGTTGAGGAAATAGTATCTTCTAATCAATAAATTTCATTTTTTAGAGCAGTTTTAGGTTCACAGCAAAATTGAGGGAAAGTACAGAGATTTCCTGTAAACCCCCTGTTCCCACAAATGCACAGTCTCCCCAGCTATCTACATCCCACATCACAGTGGTACCTTTATTACAATATATGAACTTACATTGATGCATTATTATCATCCAAAGTCACAGTTTACATTAGGGTTCATTCTCTCTCTCTCTTTTTTTTTTTTGGTGAGGAAGATTGGCCCTGAGCAAACATCTGTTGCCAATCTTCCTCTTTTTGCTTGAGGAAGATTGTCACTGAGCTAACATCTGTGCCAATCTTCCTTTATTTTATGTGGGATGCCTCCTCAGTGTGGCTTGATGAGTGGTGCTAGGTCTATGCCTGGGACTTGAATCTGTGAACCCCCGGCCGCCAAAGCAGAGCAAGTGAACTTAACCACGTTGCCACCAGGCTGGCCACAAGCGCTCATTCTTGTTGAACATTCTGTGGATTTGGACAAATGTATAATGACATATATCCACTGTTATAGTATCACACAGAATACTTTCACTTCCCTGAAAATCCTCTGTGCCTGCCTATTCAGTCCTACACACCCTTAAACCCCTAGAAACCACTGATCTTTTTATTGTCCCCATACTTTTGCCTTTTGCAGAATGTCATGTCATTGGAATCATACAGAATGTAGCCTTTTCAGATTAGCTTTTTTCACTTAATAATATGCTTTCAAGTTTCCTCCATGCTTTTTCATGGCTCAATAGCTCATTACTTTAGCACTGAATAATCTTCCATTGTCTGGATGTACCACGGTTTACTTATCCACTCACCTACTGAAGCAACATCTTGGTTGCTTCCAAGTTTTGGCAATTATGAATAAAGCTGCTGTAAACATCCATGTGCACATTTTTGTGTGGACATAAGTTTTCACCTCCTTTGGGTAAATATCAAGAAGCACGATGGCTGCAATGTATGGTAAGAGTATGTTTAGTTTTATAAGAAACTGCCAAACTGTCTTTCAAAGTAGATGTACCGTTTTGCATTCTCAAGAGCAACAAATAAGAGTTTCTGTTGCTCCACATCCTTGTCAACATTTGGTGTTGTCAGTATTCCAGATTTTGGCCATTCTAATAGGTGCGTAATGTCATCTCATTGTTGTTTTAATTTGCAATTCCCTAAGAAGATGTTGAACATCTTTGTATATGCTTATTTGCCATCTGTATATCTTCTGTGGCAAGGTAACACCTGTTGCCAATTTTCCTCTTTTTGCTTGAGGAAGATTGTTGCTGAACTAACATCTGTGCCAATCTTCCTCTACTTTGTATGTGGGATGCTGCCACAGCATGGCATGATCAGTGGTATGTAGGTCCGCGTCTGGGATTGGAATCAACAAACTCCAGGCTGCTGAAGCAAAGTGCATGAACTTAACCACTACGCCACCGGGACAGCCCTTTTGCCCATTTTTTAATCACCTTGCTTGTTTTCTCACTGTTGAGTTTTAAGAGTTCTTTGCATATTTTGGAAAACATCCCTTTATCAGATGTGTCTTGAAAATATTTTCTTCCAGTCCATGGCTTGTCCTCTCATTCTCTGCACACTGTCTTTCACACAGCAGAAGTTTCTAATTTTAATGAGGTCCAACTTCTCAATTATTTCTTTCACAGATTGTACCGTTGGTGTTGTATGTAAAAAGTTATCGCCGTGCCTAAGATCATCCAGGCTTTCTCCCATATTATCTTCTAGAAGTTTTGTAGTTTTACATTTTACATTTAAGTCTATGATTCATTTTGAGTTATTTTTTTGTGAAGGGTGTAAAGTCTGTGTGTAGATTTCCATGTGGATGTCCAGTTGTTCCAGCACCATTTGTTGAAAAGACTATTTTTGTTATATCGCCTTTGCTCCTTTATAAAGATCAGTTGACTATAATTATGCTGGTCTATTTCTGAGCCCTCTATTCTGTTCTATTGATCTATTTGTCTATCCCTCACAAATACTATACTATCTTGATTACTATAGCTGTATAGTAAGTCTCAAAGTTGGGGAGTGTCATTCCTCTGACTTTGTTCTTCTCCTTTAATACTAAGTTGGCTATTCTGTATCTTTTGCCTCTCCGTATAAACATTAAAATCACTTTGTCAATAGCCACAACACAACTTGCTGGGCTTTTGATTCAGGTTGCATTGAATCTGTAGATAAATATGGGAAACTGATATCTTGACAGTATTGAGTTTTCCTAGGTATGAACATGGATAACATCTCCACTTTTTTTAGTTTTCCTTGGATATCTTTCATCAGAATTTTACAATTTTCCTCCTACAGATTTTGTACATATTTTCTTAGATTTATACCTACATAATTCATTTTCAGGGAGGCTAGTGGAAATGGGACTATATTTCTTATTTCAAATTCCATTTGTTCATTGCTGCTATATAGGAAAGTGATTGACTTTTGTATATTAATCTTGTATCCTGCAACGTTGCTATATCTTCTTTGAGTTCTAGGAGTATCTTGGTTGTCTTTTGGATTTTCTATATAGACGATCGTGTCATCTGTGAACAAAGACAGTTTTACATCTCCCTTCTCAAACTGTATACCTTTTATTTCCTTTTCTTGTCTATTGAATTAACTAGAATTTCCAGTACAACATTGAAAAGTAGTGATAGAGGTCACGTCCTTGCCTTATTCTTGATCTTAGTGGGAAAACTTCTAATTTCTCTTTTTTTTTTTCTTTTTTTGAGGAAGATTAGCCCTGAGCTAACATCTGCTGCCAATCCTCCTCTTTTTGCTGAGGAAGACTGGCCCTGAGCTAACATCTGTGCCCATCTTCTTCTACTTTATACATGGGACGCCTACCACAACATGGCTTGCCAAGCGGTGCCATGTCCGCAACCAGGATCCCAACCAGTGAACCTGGGCCACTGAAGCAGAACATGTGCGCTTAACCACTGTGCCACTGGGCCAGCCCCTAAAGAACATCTTTTAATATTTCTTCTAAGGCAGGTCTACAGGCAATAAATTCCCTCAATTTTTGTTTGTATGAGAAAGTCTTTATTTCTCCTTCACTTTTGAAGGATAATATCACAGGATATAGAATTCTAGGTTGGGTTTTTTTCTCTCAGTGCTTTAAATATTTCACATCACTCACTTCTTGCTTGCCGGGTGTCAGAGAAGTCAGATGTAACTGTTATATTTGCTCCTCTAGGTAACGAGTTTTTTTCTTCTGACTTGCTTTTTCTTTTTATCTTTAATTTTCTGCACTTTGAATGTAGTATGGCTAGGTGTTGTGTTGTTGTTGTTGTTGTGGGCTTTTTGGCATTTATCCTGCTTGATATTCTCTGAGGTTCCTGGATCTGTGGTTTGGTGTCTGACATTAATTTGGGGAAATTCTTAGGCATTATTTCTTCAAGTATCACTTCTATTTCTTTCTGTCTCTCTTCTCCATTTCATGCATGTTACACTTTGCAGAGTTGTCC